GGAAGAGAAAAATGAATTGGAAAAAATTATGATTGATTATATAAGATGGTTATTTAGTTTAGATTTTTGTATATTAAAGTATGTGATAAAAAAGAAATTTAAAATAGATAAGTTAAGGATTGTGTGAGAGATAAGAAAGGTGATATATATATATATATATATATATATATATATATATATATATATATATATATATATTACTTATATATATATATATATTACTGTGCATATATGTCAGTAGTGAGTTTCAATTCTGACAACTTGAAACATTGTATTTAATAAAAAGTGTTCAAATCGACTTGCAACCGACTATATAGGATATCCCAAAACTCGTTAAACGTCCTTTAACAATTTAATCGTGCATTCTAAAATTATAAAATGAACTTCAAATTCTCGACTCTAATTAAACTCTGGGAATATGCCATTAAAATATTTTTAATACACGCCGAATGAGTATATTACAAACCAATGTATATTGACATTCAGTAGATCTCGTGAGTTCCGGCATGTCGCGTACTTGAACATACGTGATTGATCATAATGATCCTTGATGTCAATTAATAAACATATGAAACGACGTAGCTTACTATTTTTTATTTTATGGAATTAATCAAAGTTAAAGTAAAGACAATTTGATGATATGCAGTCGCAATCAACACACTGAAATTAAAATATGGTAAAATAATGGTAAAATTTACGATATATGTGAATGTTACATTTAATTTTTATTATATTTTAACAAGAAATATAATCGGAATATCTGCATTTTTATTTCACCTATATTTCATATAACTTCTTTATTGCTGTAACTAATTGAGAAATTAATTTTTTTACTAATCTGACAAATTTTGTTTTAGAGCCAATTTAGTTGCGAATATAAATAAAGAGACAAAAAGTCTGTTTTCTCTTCAGTAAAATTCTCTAAAAGATAATTTCACAGATAGCTCTTCTATTTAATTTTGCATGGTTTTAATAATTTATAAATTTTTAAATTTTATTTAATCAGTAAAATTTTATCAGTAATATTTATATAAGTAACAGATATGCGATATCAGAACACGTATAGAATAATTAAATATTATAATGTAGAATATATCACATAAATAACATAAAAAATAGAGTAATTATTCATATTACTACAGCTATTTCTATTAATGTGTCTTTCTATTTAAATAAATCTTAAAAAGAAAAACGAGCAAAAATAAATAGAAAAAGTATTTTTTTTAATTAAGTTAAAATATTAAACTTAATAAAAATACTTTTTCTATTTATTTGTGCTAGTTTTTATAACTTATTTGAAAATAATACAATAGTTCTAAATAGGAACAGGCACAGTAATATATCGACAGTTAAGGGCTGAGCATAATAAAAGGAATAAGAAATAGAGAATCGAGAATAGAGAACAGGAAACAGAGAACAGGGAACAATTCAATATTAAAACATGAAACGCAGAATACGCCTAATTCATCAACGCAGAATAGAGGAACAGAGGAATACGTTATTTCTTGTTTTCAATTCCTTATTCCTTATTCTCTGTTACCTGTTCCTTATTCCTTTCATTGTACTCAGTTCCTTACCCTATTCTTAACTGAAATTAGCCGCGCCTGCAGTCATGTGACCTTCAAGCATCCGTGACAGCATCCGTTTCGCGCGCCATACACACGCAGCCATAACAGACTCGGACGTGAGGACGAACGGTAGTAGATAACGTAGCGCGCTATATCAGAATTTCGCGGTTTGTTTACAGCTAGTGTGAGAACGATTAAAGTACTACACGCGCGCGATCATCGTTTCTAGAATATCGAGAAAGATAGGAGAATACTGAAATTACACGGGTAACTGTCATCTTTTGTTCGCATTAGATTTTAGAAGAGAACAAAGCGTATGTTCCCGAAATCGCGCCGAGTCGTCGGTAGCCGGCAACTTAACCTAATATAATCTCTCTGTGTTGTAGCTAATCGGAATCCTGTCCTTTTTGTAGCGTTTTAGATTGGGTGGATTTTGTGGCCGCACTATGAAGATAGTTGTAGAGAATGCAACTATCACTGGATACAATTCCAGTAGATGCGGCTGCCGTACCGGAGGATCCGGACTAGACAAAGTCCGGCGAAAGGGCGAGGTATATTTATAGATCTCTGCATTTAAGATTTTGCGGTCGCAAGCTGACACATAGTTGTCGAGATAAAAATCAGAATCAGGGATCGCAAAAGATTAATTCGATCTGTTTAGTCACACTTTGTTGAGTCGCACATTTAAATCTAACCTATACAATCAGCTATATACATAACTTTTTTGTGTCAGATCTGGAAGCGAACGTGGCTAGCTTTGAAATCGCGGTATTTGAACGAGTCAGACAGATGTGTACAAAAGAGATGAAGGTGAAGGATGAAAGAAGAGGATAAAAGAATATAAGGTGATGGGAATTTGCAAAATTTGTTAAGATCAGTGCGATTTACATGTAGATTTTTGCTTGTTGGGTTTTTGCGTGTACATATATGTACCGTTGAGCAAAATGTACTGCATAGAATAATTAGGGGGCTGCTTCTTCAAATTTATTATCTAGTAGAAAGTACTAGATCTTAGTATACTTTTAATATCTAACTTCAATCTCTTTAGTAAACATGTCTCTATACAGGGATATTTTAGAGATGTTTTAGTGATTTATTTTTATATTTAATTTAAGTATATTGTATAGTTGTACGTATGATTTATAATTATTTAATATAATTAATTGTTTGATTGAATTGATTAATTGATTTATTGTTATTTAATATAATTAATCAATTAACTAATCCTCTAATCCTCTAATTATTTTGGGCAGTTAATGTGCATTGAAATCATGCCATCATACGCGAAATTCGCGATTACTCTGCTCATGTTGATTCAAATTATGCACTTGTCGCGATTATTAGTTTTCTATATTTCCCATACGTGCATTCGCATGATGATTACGTTTCGTGAACGGGGATGAATTGCGTTAAATTTAATTCATCAAAACATGACGAATGTAAACTTGGACAAAGTACCGCGAAGGTTTTTTCGGAATGCCAAATTTGTTCGTACCGTGATGATATTCCCTAAACGAATCCACAAATTCCAATTTCGCCTTTTGTTTATCAAATTCGATATAGATTTCGCCACGATATAAATCAAAACTTTTTTTTTCGCTATTCCCTCGAGATACACATGAAACGTCATTAAAACGTAAATATTAATCGCATCGCGAATGAAGTGAAGTGTAGTGAAGTGGAATGTTGTCAACGTGGGATGACGCGGGACGGAAGTTGGCCGCTACGCAGCTTGGGATCCGGTGGGTTTTATCAGTTGACCTAGCTGGACATGGATGGTTCTCGATGGACTCGGCTGAACGTCGTTCTTCAACGAGAAATGGTGAGTGTTGAATTTCAACACTCACAGAGTGCATTTTATGTAGCACATGCATGATCGTAAATCGCATTGATCTTTAACGATAGAAATAAGAATTATTTTGTATTATTTTGCTGAGACTGAACATTCGGATATATAGTTTAATATATCCGTATTGAAAGTATAATATTTTCATAGCATATTCTCTGGACTTTATATAGAGTCGAAAATATTATGACAAAAAGAAATATTACAGTCATGGTACATTGTCAATATCGTTATATAAATTTTACATGTACGAAAGTAACTGTAAGTGTACGTGTATTGATCCATTGTTCGTTATTTTATTTTCAATTTTAATTCTTTCGATTTTAATAATGTTTATTGAATTATTTAATATTTACTTATTGCACATACTAATTGCAGATAAGTAAATTATATAATTGGCATATTTTACTTATTGAAATTAGAAATAAAAATTATAAATGATTGATTGATTCTTTTCATTGATAAATGCAGATAGAATGTTGTGTGAGAAGCGGATATTAAATAATTCCGGAGCATCAAGAGAAAGCATCGTATAACTATAATGTAACGTCTGTAACGTCTGTATCATTATATCTTGAGATTCTTCATTGATGTTCCAAGTTTGAATGAATTTGTAGTGTCAATATAAAACTAAAATTTTTAAGCTCCAGAATATACTATTAAAGTGTTATACGACAAAGTTTTAGGACGTTCTACATGAACAATATTAGAGTAATTAAGACGCATATATTTGTTCTATGGATCATTTATTATTATATTTGCAATTGATCTATTGTGACGGGTATATATCTGTCATTTCCTATTTTTTATACTAATTGGTAGCCATGTGAATTGCTCACATAGCAACGATCTTCATAATTTACATTAACGCAATATACGACACACAAGCTGAAACGCAATCGATAAACGGACATTAAAGATAAACACCTTGAACGGGGTTAACAGATATTTATTGTGGTGCATGCAGATATATCTATAAGAGAATACTACGGACACGATATTAACTCACCTTAAATAAGATCCCAATCCCGAGATTCATAAACGGTTTGGTGAAGTCTATTACACTTTCTCTGGCGTAATTAATCGTCATGGAGGCAACCGCTAGATCCGCTCTCTGAAAAAATTACACGATATCTGGAGAAATTAAAGACAGTAAATTTTGTGCACATTGTGTAATTGAAATCGTACTAAATCGAAAAACTTTACAAGGTACATTGAGAGAAAAGAGATAGTTATATCATACGAAATATTATCTTTTCAGTAATGGAAAGACTAAATCGCTTACTTTTGAAAGTCTTTTTTTCTTTTTTCATATGTATCTCGTTAGGTATGTTATAAGTACCAATTCTCGGACACGCATCTAATTCTGGACGTTCTTATTGTTTTGGCATTTAAATATGCATATTTTATCTTTCAACACAGAATGTATATATATATATATATATATATATATATATATATATATATATATATATATTTTATGTCGAAAATTTAAATGTTCATATTTAAAGAGACTAAAACAGTAGAAGTATCTAGAATTGGGTGCGTGCCAGGACATTGAAACCTTAATAAAAATAATTGAGGCAGTCATTGTATATCGTGCATATAAACAAATTCAGGATAGGCGAATATAAACAAATGCGTTTTGGGGTAGGCGAGTGAGACCTGTACGAAAGCGTCACAAATTACTGATAAATCTTCGTCCCGGATTTGTAAAAGAGGGTTTACCTTGCGAGATAGTGAATGCATTCTTTATGAACGGGCGAGTGTCGCGCATAGTGAAGTACCATTCGTATCATCCTCCGTTTCAGAATATTCGCCTACGGTTTCGTAGGTTTCCAGGTTAAGGCAACATCCACTTTCACAAGGGACAGATTGCTCTGCATGTTTTATAAACCGCTGATCTTCGGTATTCAGCGAGTATGTCGGAAAGCCGAGTCGCGAATTTTGCGAGATGCACATACTTTCTCCCCGTTTCCCCTTTATTCCCGTTTCTCGTGTCCCAAATTTATGTAGTTTGTGCACAATCTCGTTTTTTATATTATATTTTTTTATATTGCATATTACTTACATCGATGCTTACAAATTGAAACCTTGCACTAGGTGTGGAATTTTCAGCAATTTCGAATCAAAATCTGGTTGGTTTATATATTACAGTCAATAAAATTGACGATACGGTGCCAGGTGCTTTTAACAACTTCATAAATGTATATGCGATATGGTCAATGTCGTTAGTGTGACAACAAACGTTCGAGTTATTTATCGAACGAGGCCGAAACTTTGTCGTGGACAGAGAGATGCGCTGCGTATGTGTTCAAATAAATTCAACGAACCGCGTATATACATGATGATTACACCTGCAACATTTACCGTGTGATCTCGTATATGCCGTACAAAAAAAAAACATGTTCTCGAGAAAGCACACATGTTCCAATTATTTTCAATTTTTCACTTTAGTTATTCAATTTGAAAAATCGTCGTAAAAACTAGTTTGTTTTTGTTTATCTGTGGCTAAACCAATAGATCCACTTTTATTTCAACTGTATATTTTCCGTCTATCTACGCTGGAATCGTCGAATCGTCAGAAGTTCGTCGGTATTCTCAATATTACGAGTCGAGTATAAGTCGTCATATTCGCTCTTGGATCAATAATACTTTTTGTACATAGCGATATTGGGGCTGCGCGCGGGTTTATCGCTACTGTAATTTCGTTTTTGCATGGGTGTATATTTGTTATTTCGTCACATGCGTATCGCGCTTCCGCGTTTTCATCGAAAACGGTGATAGAACTCGGGATCCAATAAGAACTCTTTCCAGGGGTTTCCTCTCTCTAGTGCATTAGCGTTCGTCTGTGATGTTCTCCATTTTTCGTTGAAGATTCCAATGTGTACGCGTATTTTCTCTCATTGCTAACACCGGATATACAGATACGGTCGCATCCGCGAGGAAACACAGTGTAAATGAAAATTCTCCCGGTAACAACAACTCGGAAAGACAATATTTACTTCCTACCGGATATATACAAGTGCGAGAATTTTAGAATTATAATCAAAAGGACCCCGCACAAAACCTATGGAAAATGGTTTTCGGTCAAATTGGCTGAAATTTCACTATGTTATAGTTTTCGCCATGCTGATAAAAAGTTATCATTGCACCAAGTCCCAAAAGTCAATATTTCCCAAGATATAAAGGGTCAAAGTATGGTCATCCGCAGTAGTAAGACGTACTACTGTGTCCAAAAAGTAAGGTGACATTGCATTTATTTCGAAAATTCTTTATTTATTCTTGCAAATCAATTTCGTCCCCTTCAAAGTAATCCCCCCCTGATATAATACACTTATTCCAACGGATTTTCCAATCTTCGAAACAGTTGTAATAATCGATTTCAGGAATGGCCTTTAGCTCCTTCTTCGCAGCGGCTAACTGTGTGACGATAATGCACCGTCACACACTGCGCTGATTATTCGTGATTTTTTAGCCAAAAACTCGACTAATATCGTTCCACAACCACCGTATTCACCTGATTTGGCTCCATGCGACTTCTGGCTCCGGGGACACCGTTTCGAGTCGATAGAAGAGATTCAAGCCGCTGCGAAGAAGGAGCTAAAGGCCATTCCTGAAATCGATTATTACAACTGTTTCGAAGATTGGAAAATCCGTTGGAATAAGTGTATTATATCAGGGGGGGATTACTTTGAAGGGGACGAAATTGATTTGCAAGAATAAATAAAGAATTTTCGAAATAAATGCAATGTCACCTTACTTTTTGGACACAGTAGTATGTTATAAGTATAAGTGATACATTGATATTTATTCACGAAATAAATAAAAATCGGTTTTTACATATATATATGTAATAAATATTTAATTCCGCAATATTTTTAAGATCTGAATATAAGTTTTTTTTGTAAAATTTATATTATTTGAGATATTTCACCGGTCCGATACTTTTGCCCTACCCTGTATATACATATACATATATATTGCGGAACTAAATATTTATTACATATATATATATATATATATGTAAAAATCGATTTTTATTTATTTCGTGAATAAATATCAATGTATCACTTATAACATACGTCTTATTGCGGATGACCATATTTCACTACTTTGACTATATCTTGGGAAATATTGACTTTTGGGACTTGGTGCAACGATAACTTTCAGCATGGCGAAAATTATAACATAATGAAATTTCAGTCAATTTGACCGAAAACCATTTTTCATAGCTTTTGTGCGGGGTCCTTTGAAGAGAAAATTGTTATTGATAAAAAAGCGTTCAGAAAATTTGGAACAGAAAATCAACATGGTATTTTTTGTATTTTCGTTATTTTTTTAAATTCAACTGCATATTTTAAAACAAATGTCTATAGTCGATTTTCATTACAATTAACACGAACGCGCACACTTATGAAATAATCACGATCACAAGGCAATCGTTGATAATATATTTAATAAGAAAAAGTATTATATTGCAAAATGCACAAATTTAATTTTTTATCTCGTTATCCCGATGAAATGATTTCGGTGCATTTCGAAACTTTGGACAAATTTGATTTTTCATGTATTTCTGTTTGATCATTTTTTCGCGTTTTTTTACGTGCAGTGAGAATTGCGAAGTGTTCAGTAATACTTGTCATTTAGATTTTGTGTTTGAGAGTCGAGATATAAGTGTGTATCGATAAAATATTTCTGTCAACTCAAATATTCGTCTAAGTAAATGAGACATTGGTTCGCTGAAATTCTGATGCACGATGATTGATATAATTGCAAATGTTGCGTGTTTCAATTTAATAATCGCAATTTCGCAATAATCAGCGGCGATTTTAATTTACAGTAGAAATTACGTGAACGTCGTGTGTATCTATTCGATCATGCAAACAATAATGAATTGTCGACGTAAATTAAATCCGGAAGACGCTCGGATGCGCATACATCAAATTTTGATTTTAATAACCGCGCGACTTTACAATTCAAATAACAGACGGTAACATCTGCTAGCTGATCTATGAATCAAAATATCAGATACGTCGTTTGCCTGTAGGAAAAATGGTTAATCTAGGTGATTCTTGTATCCGACTACACGCGTAATGAAATTCCTCGCGGGATGGATTTATTGCGACACGCTCGTGGAAATTTACTTTACTTTGCATGTAAAATCGGCCTCTTGGGCCGTGTGTTTCCACTCTTCCTTCTCGATGTTTTCCCCTAAATATACTCTCCCTCTCTCTCTGTGTACAGCCGTAATTTCTTCAACAATCTAAACTTTCCGCACTTTAAACATCTTTACTTCGTTGTATTAATTAATACGCAGATTATTGATTTCTGCTATTTAGTAGTCTTCATAACGATTCGGAAATACGGTTTATAAACTAGTTACAATTTTTCAGCATTTCGAAAGTTTGGGAAAATCAACTACTTCATCGGATTTAGCACAGCATACAACTGAATGCTTAATAAAGCGCGTATATCTTAATTAATCTTCCTCTCACTGACGCTGATTAAATCTTTTTCCGCTTCTCCGTGCAGTCTCGTCGACGATGTAGCGCCTGAAAACTTTGCTTTAACTCGACGCATGCATATTAACACCGAGCTATTTACATCTCATTCCCCGTCTTGTTGTTCGCTCATTTCATTCGCGCCGCGATATTGAATTATCGCGAGGAAGGGAAACAGGATTTACGTATTTCGCCTTACCTTCTCCATGAGCTCTCGAACGATCCCGTTCCACTCCTTCGTATCCGGATCGTATACCCCGTACATGTGATCGGGCACCAATTTGATCGCGTATTGGAAGCCGACCTGGTCGGCGATCCACTTGAGCAAGTCGATACAGAAACCTTCGAATCTCGCGTTACCAGTCAAATTCTTGTCTTCTTTTACCATGACGTAAGGTCTTTCCTGCGGAAGATTGGATCCCATTGATAGATCATAGGATTGTGTGCGCCATGACAAGGACGAGGCGGAGGTAACCCTTAAAAGTCTTTATTTCCGCGTGAAAAAGTTATATCAAAGGTGAAGCACTGATGGAAGTTTGACGTGAGTATACGGTATTCCAGCAGTTCTTCTCCCTCGTATGCTTCTTTTTTCCCGACGCCACCATGAATTTTTCATTTTGCCTAATATAAGGGTATATGACTGCCGATCTATTTGATGGGTTCAGATTTTTCTTTGATATGGTACTCCGCGCGATTTTGTCACTTAAACATCTCTTAAAGTCTTCGATCGTCATTCATATCCTCAAATGAGATAACGGTAAACTATTAAATTGTTGCAAGTAGAGGTTTGCATTGTTTTACATTGTTGAACTCTTCATACATTTATTACAGAATTCTTTAGTATTTTAATATGAATATATATATATATATATATATATATATATATATATATATATAGAATAGAAATTTCTAAATTTACTATATCTAATATACACGTTTATTTTAATAATCAACTCATTCAATTGAAATGAACGTTTCCAGAAATGTCCAAAATAGTTTAACTAATTATATATACCACTAGGGGAATTGTTTCTAAACATTGCATTTGCACGCGTACGCGTTGTCTCTTAGTTAAAATGTAAATGTGTTACTTTTGCTCCGTTTGATAAATTTACCCGGGACCATTTCGAGCTTTCGTATTATCATATAATCAATACTCGCGCGGTAGTATAATCTCTAATGATTAATTATAATGTTAGTAGAATCGCAAATGCGACTAATTTGTCTACAAGGTATTATTACCTCTCTCGTCATAACTACGAGTGTAATATTGGTTGTCGTGGTCTCGTAAAAGGCGTCTATATCTGTAACATTGATACCGCTCCCGATTTTCCATTCGCCGACTTTGACGAGCTCTTCCTTCTTCAACTTCAGAAGGTCCAACTTGAAATTGTTCCTCTTTCCTTCGTTGAATGTGATATGTCCGGTTAGTCCGTGTAAACCTGCCTGCAACAGAAATGTTCGTATTAATCCTAAATTCTAAATAATTCTAACTCCTAAATCCTAAATAAAGATTGATTAAATACATCGAACTTTCGCGACATATGATAAGTAAGGAAAAAATACCAATGTCTGCACTGAGAGACAAAAATGATTGATCCAACTACAATTATATTTTTAGGCTTAACCGTGTATTTTGGTTATTCTAATACGAAAATAGTAGTAGTAACATATATATTAAGTTATTGTCACTAATATTATAGTAGAATTTAATAAAGAAATAGTTTTCTTGATCATAATTTATAGTGAATATTTCTCTATATAATTGTAGTTAAAAATACCACACACGTACACACAAATATTTTTTTTTGGTGTAACAACGCTTGTTTAACTTTGTTTCTTTGCAAGAGTATGTGCTTCAGCTGTATAATTCTTAAAAATTTGATTCTTATTGTTTATATTTTTATTGTTTGAATTGTTACGTCCGACGTAACTTCTCTTTAGCTCGACCGAGTGCACCTT